GGTTAATTGCGTTTATACAGACCCTGATGGGAAAACTTTGGCTTATATCCCTTATCGGTCGGTCCATTATTTGTCGACTCGGCAACAAGAGGTAATTGAGAAAATCATCATAGACTATACCACAAAATTCAAAATCAAATTCACACATAGCGAAATAGACACAGTATTCATCATTTTGATCATGATCGTGATCATGCATGACACATGGGAATCTCTGGCTCATCTTCCAACTCAATCCCGACCTCAGCTAGTCTTTTGTCCTTGTAAACGTACCACTTGGAGAAAACGAGGAAAATGAGGAAGTTCAAAGCAACAATTACGGCCACAAGCCAGTAGAAATTGTAAAGACGGCCTTTGTTGAGATCATCAGCGATCCACGGATGAGTTTTTCCAGTGAATTTCTCGACGATGGTCACGAGAACCGAGCTGAAGAAAAACCCTAATGCCAATGTGCTTAACAATAGACCAGTGCTCATTGTTTTCATGCCTTTAGGACACTCTCTCAAGAAGAAATCTAACTGTCCCGTGTAAATCAACGCCTCGCCTATACCGACAATAAGGTATTGTGGGATGAGTAGATAAAACCCTAAAGGAAGCGTTTTGACGGTTGGACCATGGGAATGGGCGGTTCTAAGACGTTTGATCTCTACCAAAGCAGCCACGGCCATGGCCATGGATGCCAATATAAGTCCCAAACCAATGCGTTGTAGCGGCCTTAGACCCTGAGGGTAGTTGAATAGCTTTTTGCATAGTCTAATGGCAACACGGTCGTAGAGGGCGGTTGTTAGGAGGAGGCCACCAACGTAGAAGGCAGCCATCGAGGCTGGAGGGATCTCAAAGCTTCCAATGTGACGGTCCATTGTCTCGGATTGCGCAACGGATAATGTCGTCAATTGAGCGTGGACGGTCCAAAAGAGAATGCATGTTGCCCAAATTGGTAACATCCGTACGATTTGTTTTACTTCCTCAACATCGGTTAATGTTGAAAGTGTCCATTTGTTGAATACGTTTTGGGTCGCTACCATTGCTTGGTCCTTTATTGCTGCCTTGTCCAAAGAACTGTGGCATCAAATGATACAAGGAATAATTAGGATATAGTTTTAAATTATGTGAAATGAAGTTAAATGATTTGTTGGAATAAATATACGTCTATATTTGTTACAAAAGAACCTTTGTGTGTTTCTTGAAAAGAGCTGGCTTATTGATAGTAAAATAGATACGAACGGGAAATGTCACTATTTATTGAAATTTCATAGATTGTTAGTAAATCATCTTTTTGGAATATAGCCTAAGCATCGAATCAACATGATGTGGAGATAGTTACGTGGAATCTTTCAACATGATATACCCTTCACACACATCATGGCAATAAACAAACAGATGCACAAGCAAAATTGTATGAAATAATGTAGAATTTTTTTTTGAAATTTGAAAAGTATGAAATAATGGAAAAGGGTAAAAGGTTTGTTTTTACAGTTTTTAATTTAACTTTAGAAATACTAACAAAAAAGAGGGACAAATTTAATGAAGCAAAGAGCACGCAAATCACGAGCCATGCACGTGACGGTAGGGTTCTTAGCCTAACTCTGGGTCTGTCCCGGTGAAGGTGTAAAGTAGTGGAGGTGTTACGACACGAAACGTGATCGTCTCACTACAAGACAAAACAACTGTCTCGTTTCTTCTTCTTTATTTATTTTTATTTCCAAAAAAGTGAGAGATTCAAAGATCTAGAGATGGTAAACAGATTTTTTTAATTATCTGGAATAAAAAGTAATCTGATTCCTTTGGATTCTTGTGTTTCTATTTATGCATGCATAGGGATTGATGTGTAAAAGATACTGTACTTAAAGGTTGGGAAAAAAGGAAAGATACTAGTCAGGTCAGGCGTATATATATGTGTGTATATATTTAAGTTTGAAAGCAAGAGAATCTTTGATAATATTAACGATATATTACTAAAATAAAACAAATTTTAAATATACTTACCACACCTTTTGGCTAAAGCTACTATCTTTTATAAAAACCAGATAATCTAATGAGATAATTTGCTAAATATATAATAAAAAAATTATAATTTAAAAGGTAACCAAAACCCCCAAATCTAATAGAGGGTGAAAAATTTTCAAAGATTTACAGGAAAAAATTAAGATGGAGAATATTACCCCACTAAGCATATTCTAATTCATTTATATATTTGGTATTAGTAAATCTTTCTGAGAAACTTCTCTTCATTTCCTACCTATTATATGTAGTGAACTTGACGTGTTATCTAACGAAAATATAAGTATTCATCTAGGTAGATATATGCACACAATTCTAAAGATAAAAAATATACAATATATATTTCAAAATACGCTTTGAAAGAAAAAAATCCAAAAATGTTGTAATTAGCTGTAAAATTCATATCCTGGACCATTGTGGTCGAGTAATATGATAACAATTTATTCTCCCCATATATGGAGAGAAAGGAAAATATTCAATCCCTTTCAATTGGATTCTAATACCAAGTAGGCATATGATGTAAATATTGTGGACCCACTTTAATTTAAGGACACGAGCTTTTCGAGTTATTTTCCACCCACACGACCCTACTTTTAAATATAACAATTTAAAGTCTATTTATATATATCACATTCATTATTAATCTACATCTCAATTATTTGAAATTAACCATTTTGATTAAAAAGAAAAAAATTGGTAACAGTTTTCAATCTTAAAAATATTGCAAGTTTTAGGAATCGAACGTGAGATATTGTTTTTTTAAGTAAAATGTTTAAAATTTAATGAGTTAATTAGACAAAAGAAATCATACCGGAACTGTTTGGTGTGCGGTAGCTTTTGTTTACTCTTCATCGAACCTTCCCCCGCGATAAT